GTGCCCATGCTCCTGAATGCGGGCCCCGGGGCCGGTCCAGTAAAATATGCGAGACGCAGGTTGCGTGCTGATATCGCCTCGCTCGCAGCCTTGAGTCGCTCGAGCCCTATAAATAAACCGCAATTAATCATCAGCCGAGAGGAAGCCACCATCCTCTGCTCCGGCCCATGTATGAGGACTGAATCCTTTCTCTGTGTTGAGCTGATGTGGTCGTCTTACACAAGCATAAATGACGTCCAGTCAGCGCTGAGTCACCAGTGAGTTACTGCATGTTATGAGGGATGTTGCAGGTTCTGGAGCAGCGTCTCTTCACCAAGCCTTTCTCAGTATGATGAACCTGCTGCTGCTACACAGGCTACATCTGCCTTTGTTGCCTTGATTTTTTTCAGTTAACTGTTCAATCTGCTTTCATTTTTGGTAGAGTGTGCAGACTTTTTTCAAGTATTTTACGCCTACATTAACTCTTTCCTCGCCAAACACGGAATTTCCCGTTATTCGTGAGACAACGCTTACCCGCCAAACACAGAATATTCCTGGTTTCCGTGTTCTCGCTGTTATACGCTAGGGGGCGCTATTATGCATCTCCTGAATGAGTCTAGAATCACTCGATCAAAAACACAGACCAGGAAGACGCAGAAACCAGCGATCTCATATGGAAGCTTATGCATATGAAAAATAATGCAATCATCAACACTAACCGCATATACATGAAAACTGCCTAATGTTAGCGAGTGAAATGTGGATCCAGAAACAGCTGTGAAGCTTTGGGAGCGCTGATGGAAGCCATCTACTGCATCTTAGCTTTGATAATATTACTGAATATGATCCAGATGTAGTATTTGATAAAAATTCGATTTTCTCAGCTTTTTGCTCAAAATGTAGTTAGGTTTCATAAAAAAAGCAACATTCAAGTGTTGATTAAAAGAAACAATGCTTGAAGCTAGAATAAAACAGGTTTTTTAGTTTGAAAGTGGAGGGTCTGATCTTTATTTTGATGTATTGCATGTTCAGATATTCATACAACAAAATATTCTGGGGGCCATGAAATTTTAGTGAAAGTCAGCAAAAACGCTGGCGGGGAAAGAGTTAACAATATAACAGAGCAGCTGTGTTTTACTCCATAGAAACATTTCCCTCAGACTCACTGGAAATACTAACATGTGCTCCAACTTTAGACTGAGTTTCTGATTCCTCGTATTTAATATTATACGGAAGTGGTTTCCTCTTGAGCGTGGATGTTGTGTGAGTGATGTGGCGGTCAGTGAGTGGTGACGTGACTCTGAGCTGTGTAATACTGTGGTGTTGTGTCAGAGAGAAGGGACGCTGTGTAATACTGTGGTGTCGTGTCAGAGAGAAGGGACGCGGTGTAATACTGTGGTGTCGTGTCAGAGTGAAGGGACGCGGTGTAATACTGTGGTGTCGTGTCAGAGAGAAGGGACGCTGTGTAATACTGTGGTGTCGTGTCAGAGAGAAGGGACGCGGTGTAATACTGTGGTGTTGTGTCAGAGTGAAGGGACGCTGTGTAATACTGTGGTGTTGTGTCAGAGAGAAGGGACGCTGTGTAATACTGTGGTGTTGTGTCAGAGTGAAGGGACGCGGTGTAATACTGTGGTGTTGTGTCAGAGTGAAGGGACGCTGTGTAATACTGTGGTGTTGTGTCAGAGAGAAGGGACGCTCCCTGCAGAAGTGGAGGAGCTGCTGTGTGTGCTGCAGGAGCGGAGGAACTGGGCGGCTCGACGATACTCTCTGACCGACGCCGGCCTGCTGAGACGCTCCAGCTTCAACACTCACACCCACATCTGATCAAACCCTGTCCATACAGCAGCCAGTTAAGCTGCAAAAACCTGTGAACTCTGTTCAGTCTGATGTAGTTGAGCGCATTTGTCATATTGTTAGTCAAAAGAAGACAGAATTTTTGTTTGTGTGCAGTTTGTTGGACCTCACAGGCACTGTTTCTTTGCTCTGCTGTAACGTGTGAAGAGTATTTCTGTATCACATGTAAAGCTGTTGATGCTGCTGGTTTGTGAAGCATTAAAAAGCCTGTTTTTGCTCCGTCTTCGTTCATTGTGTGAGTATAATTTGAGTACTTTTCACGCCCCTGATAGAGTCATTATTCACGTCAAGTTTTGTTCTCGTTCGATACTCTTTTAAACCCCAGCTAATCAAAGATGACGGGGGCAAGAAACCCAAACTCCATGAGACAGAAATGCAGAAGAACACGCTGGGAGAACACCGTGAGAGTTATGATGTAGTTTCCCTAGTGAGAAATAAATATACGTGAATGTATTTGAAATGCATTTATTTCATGCTAAGTATACTACAAATACATTTTTATATTTATGTATTTAATAAAATGTCCTGCAATTGTACTTTTGGTGTACTAAACTACTATACTTAAAGTCTGCTAAATTGGAACAACTAATTTAGTTCTAAAAGCACTTTAGTTGTGCACAAGTACAATTAAACATATACTTAAATATATTAGGTTGTGCTAAAGTGGAGCTATTGCAAGTATACTTCAGGTACACTTTAAATAATTTACATTTAAAGTCTGATATTATTCAAAGATCATACAATCCTCATCAAAAGTGGCATTAAAACACATTTTAGACTTAATATTAAGAAAAGTGCATTGTGCACAAGTAGTATGCAAGTAAAGTTTAATTATATATTTTTTTATATCAGTAAGTCTTAAGTATAGTTCAAATCTATTAAAATATTTACTGACAGATAACTCCTTATGGAATGAAAGTATTTTAAATATATAATTTATTTACTAGGGCTGAAAGCTGGAGCAAGCCTGCAGGAGCACAGTATATCAGGCTGTTTGCTGTGAAATGATCTGATGTGGCTGTTGTCAGTGCATCTGCCTGCTCTTCTTCCTCAGGCCTTTATTCATCCACACACACTTCAGAAGAGCAGAGCTGCGGTCTCAGATGAGGAGCGTTAGAGGAAGACCTTCAGCGAAGCACAGCTCCTGCAGCCTTCAAACACACCATCACTTCCCCGTCACTGAACATCTAAAATATATATTTCTTACCATTTCTAACCTATAAATAATTCAACATAATGGAAAGAGGAAGAAGAAGATGATGAAGAGGAAGATGAAGAAGAGGAAGGTGATGATGATGATGAAGAGGAGGAAGATGAAGAGGAGGCGTCTCGACGGGACGGATAGGAAGCCCTGCTCTCTCTTCTCAATGAGGGACGTAGATCAATTATCGTTTCACAATCCCTTTCTGCTGTCCCCTGCGGAGCCGCTGCTTTCTGCGGGATGGTCCTGCTCCTGGCGCTGGTCTCCGGTAGGGTCCAAACCTTGGCAGGGTGACAGTATTCGAGTGAGCAAACTCCTGCTATTGTCCTCCAGCCAGAGGGAGCCATGGAGACCCACTAATATGACACAGGAAAGTGTTTGCTGATGGCAGTTCTGTGGGCTTTGTCTAACTCTTTCTCTTTCACGACGACTCGATTTAAGTCTCCGAATGTTTGACTACAAATGTGAGCGTGCTCTCCGGCTCCTCCGCGAGGTTTGAATGAGTAATTCAGCTTTTGTGTGGCTCGATTGAGGGGGCAAACAGAAAGAAGATTATTCAGCGCTCAAGCCCCCTTTCATGGTTATGCGCACATCTCCTGCTCCTCCGGAGAAACAGCGAGAACAGCCCGCGGGAGCACCGGTTATACCGAGCAAACCCCGCCTCCGCTCGCGGTTCCTCGGGGATTTCCATGACAACAGTCTGGGGTGCCAAAGAATGCGACACCGGGGTGTGTGCGGCGCGTTGTGAGGTCGCTGATTGGCTCAGGAGTAGGGATGGGCGATACCACTTATTTTGTTTTCGATACGATACCGATATTTTTCAAGGCAGCATCATCGATATCGATACCGATTCGATACTTCTGAACTAAACTTTTAAATTATGAAATTTATGAAATTATTAAATTACTAAGAGTAAAATGGGTAATGATAAGCACTTAACTTTGTTTAAAACGCATTTTAACATTCAATACGCCTTAATTGTAACTTATTAGGTTATATTTTTGTTTACACATGGTTCAAATATGTTTTTTGTTTACACGTGATTCAAATATACAAATACTACAGTTGAACTACGGTCACTTTAGTAAAACCATGGTTCATTTTCAAAAAAACACCTTAGTATCGATATTTTTTGTTTGAATATCGATACTTTGGATCGATACGCCCATCCCTACTGAGGAGAGCACCGTAACTACACGAGTCTGCAGTCACTGCATGCGCTGCTCTGAGTGCCGGGGCTATTACAGAGGCCTGGGGCCTCGTTTATAAAATGTGAGTACGCACAGATTTGATCTTAGAGTGTGCGTACGCTAAAATCCACGGCAACGTTCATATTTATAAAATCAGTCTTTGACGTGGAAAAGTACTTAATGTTACCGTCAGGTCAGGGTCTGAGCAGGTGTACGCACTTCTCCTTGTGGCAAAGTCGGAGTACTGCAGCTATTTGAACATCTAAGCTGCAATAATAATAAAAGCGGTGTACGTGCAAGCACCGAATTCATCATAAACAATAAATATGCAAGAGATTAATGCAGTGTAGTCCGATTTTTTATTAACGTGAGTTTTTGCGAGATTAAACTGACCTTTTTAGTAGCCTAATGTTGAGAGTTCTTTACTCGCTTTCTGTAGCTACACAGTTTATTCCATGTTGTTATTTTATTTTATTTTACAAGAGAACTTGCTAAGTCTTGATTTACTACTAATGTGTAAAATAGAAAAAAAGAATAGGCATATGTCGTGCAATAACGGTTTTAATATATTCTATTCAATAACATTGTTAACGGTTTTTATTTATAACATCTGCTGCTTTGCTTCTGTGAAAATTAGAGACATCAGCCTTAAACTTTTTTTGCATTTACATCAGTTATACTTGTATAAAATACACTATATATTAGGGCTGCCCCCTAATAGTCGACTAATCGTTAGTCGACCAGAAGAGACTTGGTCGACCAAAATTTTAGTCGCTTAGTTTGAAGAAAGAAAAAAAAAACACATTGGCAAAGTCATGCAGATCGTTAACGGCTGATCTATGGTAATACAGTAGTCTACATCCGGCAGGACATCCAAACGCTCGCCTATCAATCCACCATGAGAAATGTGCGCTATATTCAAGTGTCTGTGCGGAAGCTGAACATAGCGCTCACTGCAGGACAGATGGAGGCGCCGGTGCGCTCACTTGCCTTAAAATAGGCTGTAATGTTTGGTCATACAGATAAGAGTAATACATCTTTCAAATCTGTAAAGACTCTGTTTATTTATGTGCACTCACAATAACAACAAAACGTGCTTTTGTAAAATAATGAAAGCAAACATGATGAGCTTTCTGCCATCTCGGTCTGTGAACTCGAGCACGAAACTCCATGTAGGCTATATCTTTGCCTTACAGACATTAAAATATATCTATAGAGAGTGAAATGTCTACTTTAAATTGAACCAATTCAAATGGAAAACAAATATTCTCAGATTATGTAATCCGTGAGAAACATGCACACGGGCGCTTCACTACTGCGGAGATGACGAGTCCGTGTCGCAGACTTCATCTCTTAAACCAAAACAAAGAAAGCACTTGTTTATCAGTGAATTATTAAAATGTTAATGCAGCCTCCTTTCTGTTTTTCCCTGACACGTTCATAATCATAGCTTCTGCGGTGCGCTGTAGCAAGCTTTATGCGTGTGCTTGAGCGCTTATTAGGCGTTGTAGGCAATTAAAGGCTCATTATAAAGATTTAAATGGTTTATTATTAAACGTGCGATTAGTAGCCTAATGCTTAAAATGAACGACTACTAGTCGACCAGAAAAATCCTTAGGTGAGGGCAGCCCTACTATATATTTTTGTGTCAGTACATTAATGGCACATTTGAGCAGCATTAGTAAACTGTGTAAATATAAAGACATGCCAAATCACATGCAGGTTTTTCAGACCGGAGACCATAGTCGTGTTATAATTTATTTTGTTATGATATGAATCGTCCAATTTTTCTTTCAATAATGTTTTTTTAAGTTTTGCAAGAATGTCGTGATAAACTTTTTATTAGTTGTCATAGCAACTGATTTTACAAGAAGGATGGCTCACTTTTTATAAGATGACTGAATTTTACTTGAATTCGTAGTTTATTCTTACTTTTGGAAACCTACTACTACTACTACTGTTTCTAGAAGTAGTAATTTTGATAATAGTCAATAGAATAAATATAACCACACACACATTGTTTGTCCTATAAACGTCACATCCGGAAGAGAGGCGGACGCATGTGTTTCTGTGCGCAGGTTCGTTTTCTCTGAATCGCGTTTACGCACTTTTGAGAAATGATCGTAGAGCAAATTTAGGACGGTTTATACGCAACATTTTATAAATGAGGCCCCAGATCAGACCGGAGACCATAGTCGTGTTATAATTTATTTTGTTATGATATGAATCGTCCAATTTTTCTTTCAATAATGTTTTTTTAAGTTTTGCAAGAATGTCTGATAAACTTTTTATTAGTTGTCATAGCAACTGATTTTACAAGAAGGATGGCTCACTTTTTATAAGATGACTGAATTTTACTTGAATTCGTAGTTTATTCTTACTTTTGGAAACCTACTACTACTACTACTGTTTCTAGAAGTAGTAATTTTGATAATAGTCAATAGAATAAATATAACCACACACACATTGTTTGTCCACAGAATAATTACACATTATTAAATAAAAAGCGTCCCGCAGGAACCTCTAGCTCCAGCAGGACCTCAGTTTCAGACTCAGTACAGTTTTTTCTCTTTGTGCTCGTCATTCTCAAGCACAGAAAGTCTGATATCGGCGTGTGCTCTTTTATATGGTAATGATATTAATTAGGGGGCGTTGCCAAGGCGGAGATCTGACAGCAGTCAGCTGCGCACAATTTCAAGATCATTTGTGATTTATAAACGTCACATCCGGAAGAGAAGCGGACGCATGTGTTTCTGTGCGCAGGTTCGTTTTCTCTGAATCGCGTTTACGCACTTTTGAGAAATGATCGTAGAGCAAATTTAGGACGGTTTATACGCAACATTTTATAAATGAGGCCCCAGATGCGCTCCTGGGTTCATCATCGCGGCGGTTTTGCTCCAGGGCTGTACAGGACTGAAGATGTGCTGCTGAGGAGCGAGTGAGCGCGATGGCGAGGTGAAGATGCTCCTGAACTTCGTCAATCTGGCGTCGAGCGACATCAAGGCGGCGCTGGATCGATCCGTGGACCACCGCAAATACCGCTTCTCGCACCGCTGCGCCAAGGTCTGGAGTGTGTCCTAAACTCCAGGAACACTGGTGTCTCATAAATCAATCAAATCTGTGTGTGTGTGTGAAAATATTCAGATGTAACCCCCTTTGAAATCATTAACATTCTCAGAAGTAACTGTAATTTAATGACACATTTTTTTCTCAGTAACTGTAACAGATTACAGTTACATTTGTTTTGTAATTAAATTACGTAATTCCGTTACATGTAACTAGTTACTCCCAGCGCTGGTTTTAACCCGTTACTGACACGAATCTGAGCAGGTTTAATGATCACTCGACTTTAAGCACTTAAAGTGCAGCTGTAGCAGGAATGAAACACGCGTGTAGTGATTCTTATGGACTTGAGTGAAACTGCAGATATTAAAACAGCATTTGGCAGCAGTGCTTGTGTGACTGCGGCTCAACAGAGTCAAGAATCATTTCTCTCCTCCAGCTCAAACATCCCAGAAACAGCATGATTTCACAGCCATGCAGATGATTTATTATTTAGAGTTAGAGATGCTGTCACACTAAAAACCTGATCGTAATCCAGAGCGTGTGCTAAATGAGCGGATTAAATCTGGTAATAATTCACTATTTTGCACTGTCTGTTAATGAAAGGAATGACAGCTTTTCAAGAGCTCAGACACTCGAAGCCTGGGAGCAGGTTTATTCTGTGAACACCACCATCATATCAGTATTTTCAGATCATCTACATGAAACTGTGTGTCAAGCACATCAAGATCAATTAAAAGTGATATAAATACACAGTGGACAGGAGTGGTCAGTGTTGTGCTAAAGGCCCCTGGAGCTCAGGTACCTCAGCATGGGGCCCGGCAGCGGCAGGGACTCCACACATCTCAGTCTCTGCGGCCCCAGCTGCTCTCGGATCCTCAGCCCACAGAGATGCGTCAGGCCTCGAGGAGACGCTGTCGAGACAGAGACAGAAGCAGAAGAACACACTGTTCAATCACGCTTCACGCGCACACAAGGGACTCTGCAGGACTGACAAGCTCATAAAAGCCAAACAGATATTATGAAAAGTAAATTAACAAGTTCCTAAATTTAAAAAAAAAATCCTCATTTGAAATCCAAAGTTGAAACACTGAAATTATCTTTGGTGTAAAAATAAAGCATGAAAGACCAACAACATTTATATTATACACGACCAGTCAGAAGTGTTTGAACAGTAAGATTTTTAATGTTTTTAAAGAAGTCTCTTCTGCTCACCAAGCCTGCATTTATTTGATCCAAAATACAGCAAAAGCAGTAAAATTATGAAATATTTTTACTGTTTAAAATAACTTTTCTATTTGAATATATTTTAAAATGTAATTTATTCCTGTGATTTCAAAGCTGA